ACAAGCTGAAAAAACCTCTATTAACAATTAAAAACGTATTTTATGTCATATACAGATTCAGAGGGAAGAAATGGTTAAAAAGTTAAATAAACCAAATGCCGCTCTTGTGCAACCTCCATAACAGTGCTGAACTACCAACCCATGGTCCCCATGTTTAAGTAATCAGCTTTTTGATTTTGAAGGGCTGAATATCCCATGTCTTCATGGTCTCACACTACTGCTACTGTCACTGGCAGGCACAGTGGAGCAAAAGCAGAGTCCTTGTGCCAGTTAATTTGTATTTTCTGTGTGTGGTATAGACACAGCAGTGTGTCAGTTTTCTCACTGTAATGTACACCTATAGCTGTGACTCTGCTCTATCTGATAACGTTAAATTATACTTTTCAAGGTACAAAGTCATATGAGTCTGGAGTGGGTTTTTTGTTATTCCCCCCCCCCCCCCCATTTTATCACCTGGTATCAACAGTGTTCAGGTACATTGTGTTTCACTATTCAGCCTCTATGTGCTTGTGATGTCCTGGGTATATTTATTAATGTAAATTATTACTAATGTAAATACAAAAATTCAGCAGAGAATTAGGAAAACTCTTCATGAACTTTTTGAAAAGTGGCATGCTGAAATTAACTGTTGAATGTGGTAAGTGGGCAAATGAAGACGAGGGTGAAGTAACCAGAAACGGGGTCCCGTTGGAAGTCCATTTAGGATTTCTTTGATTTTTTTGATAGGTATCTTCCATGGCAAGCTTGGGGACACCTGCACTCTATGCCTGAGAGTGAAATGCAGCTGCACATGACTTTAGACCTCATATGGGTTTCTCATGTGTAGTTTCATCTATGCATAGGTACATAGGACTTGATAAAAGTCCTCCTTTTCGTCTGGACTCTCATACCTCAGTTCAGCATGATGTAATGGGTGTGCAGTAAGATTTATGCTCCAGTTTGTTAGAAATAGGTGGAATATCTCTGCTTCAGGCTCAGTGTTACAGTTAGATTTGTTAAAATACTCCAGCTTCTGCCTGAGTGAAAGCAGCCCAGTTGCAGGATCCTATTTCAAGGCTGAAGAATGAGGGTCAGGCTTCCCATTGCTCTGGGCTGGGGGAAATAATTTGCAAAGCAATGGTGGTACGTGTACTGCATGCTCAAAGTAGCAGTACAGTGTGTCAGAATAATGAAGAAGGCATTTAATTCTTTTGGAGAAAGGTCATTTAGTTATTCATCATGAACTGTTTGTTGAACTCTGCTTCCTAGGACTTACGTACTTTGAACTGGTTCATAAGCAGAGCAAAATAAAGGAGTCAATCATATAAATATGATGTGACTGCCTGGTAATTATTTACTTGTGAAATACAAACTCACTCCTCTAAACGAGATAACAAGGTTTTATTGAGGGACAAAGTCAATAAAGCAAAAGCAACAGCACTGGCCACATGACCGTAGCCAGAGGCGCAAGTGATTAGTATTTGTTACAGGTTTATATACTTTCACTATTATATTATTTACATACATATTCATAATTCCCACATATAGGCAGTGAATATTATAACTAGCTCCAAGAACTTACTATCATAAGTCTTCTCCTCTTGGCATCTGCGCACTGCTCTCTGGTGATTGTGGGCAGGGGTCTTGAGGACGAAGTAAGCAGTCGTCCTCTTGTGAGTAGGGGTCTTCAAGATGAAGTAAGCAGCCTTCCTCACAGTGTACTTTTCACCTTTGGCACAGTTGAATGCCCCAGTAATCACACAACTAGCTGAAACCAGCTGTATCTGTAATTCTTCTGATAACTAGCAAAGATCTAAAACAGTGTGACCTTCCTGCAAAATTTATTGCAGGATGGGCAGACAAGGAGTATCCTGAGCTAGCAGATGTCTGGGAGGCTCTGTCTCTAAACTAACTGATAAGTAGAAGGATGGAATAACTCATTCATGTTTAGCAGGGCCACTAAATCCTGTTATCTCACCACAGACTTACAACACAAACATTGTCCTTTAAAACTACTTTAGAAGACTATTGTGAAACAATTAACTCATGTTTAGTGGGGCCACTAAATTCCACAGACTTACAACATAAACATTGTTCTCTTTCTACAACCTAAGTTAAGCTAAAAAGTACTTTATGTTTTTCAGTCACTAGCTTTTCTCAAGCCCCCCCCCTTCTTTCTTTTACCTTTACAAATTCTTTTGCTATGTGACTGTTTTGCTCAAGAGTTCTAGCCCTTTTTAACTTGTCTAACCTTGTGTCTTTAGCGAGCTTTGTTTCTGTTATTGTAAACTGGTACAGTTATATCCACATAACCACACCTATGATTTGCGAAAGCCAGTACATTGATGTGTTTAGCACATTACTGATACATGGAAACAAATGTTCGTAACAGGCATTAAGCTAACTATTGAAGTTACCACTAGTGAATAGCTCTGCCACATTAAGAAAAAGACACTTTTTAGGAATAAGGCACACTTTGCTTTTTATTACTGCCATTTACTTTGAACAATTCTAAAGGAGGGGGCTTGTGATGTTCAGAATCCATGGAGTTATGGTATTTTATGTGTAATTTGGTAATACACCATTTTCATTTGCATAATACAAACAAAATAAACAAAATACAAATATAGCATAGTATAAATGCAGTGCTAGCATGACCAAGGACAGTGAGGGAGTGCAGGTGATGATAGTTTATTAGATGGCTAAATAAAGACAGGTGGAAAATAATTACATTATAAGAAAATGGGGACACACATTTTCTCACTTCACTAGATCACTCCTTACATATTGCTTAAGCTCTCCATGAAAAAGACTGAGATACCAGTTGTAACAAAACAAAACAAAACCCAGACACCTTTTATAAGTAGTTCATATTCTTTTAAGACCAGTTTTCCAAATGGCAAAGGGGTGGTGTATTTGGCAGGAGGTCTGATAGAAGGGGAGCTCTGAAATGAGAAGTTCTCCAGAAGAGAAGAGCAGGCAGTCCAACATGAAGGCTGTGCACACAAAACTTCTGCCTGATTTCTCTGTCTTGTAGTAATCAAGGAGAGTAATTTACTTACTTAAAAATTGGGAATGGTTCTTCTGTAACAGGTACGTGTAAAACAGATAATGACTGATGGGGCTGACGAGAAGCTCAGAATGGTGTTTGCTTGGCAGTGATAGGCTTGAAATGTGCCTTCTATGCCTTCAAGACCATGTCAAACTTCCTCTAACAGCATTTTCCCAATTCACTCTAAGCAAGACCCTATTTACTCCCTTAAACATGGAGTTGTGTTCACTTTAGCATCCTGGGATGGCAGGGAGTCCTGCTAACTTTCAGCAGTAAGACTGAAAGGGTCAAAAATCTGTTCAGAATCAATCACAAATTGTAATAATCTTGGTAATTACAGTAAAGTGTTGCTGCTGGAGGGTAATTATGGATTTTTGTACACTCAAGCTTCTTTTTATAATCTTGTGAAAAAGCACCCTTTTATCTCTCTTTTCTTCTCCTGCTTTACCACATACTTCTTTTCATGTGTTGGAGGGGAAAATAAACCCTTTAAAATTATTAAGCTCCACAAAATGGAATGAAATTCTGTCTTTAAATGTCAAGAGGTGGGGGTGGAGGGAAAGGAGCAAATTTCATCCCTTCTCTTGTATTCTGAGTACTCAGAAGTCAGCTATGAAATGAAATACTTTGGGTTTCATGAGTGACTGGTGTGAAGCAGGGTCAGAATCATATGATCTTCAGGAAAATAGGAGTGAACAGGGGTAAGAAATATTCTACAAGGATGCTTCATGTTTCAAGCTTTTTTTCTTGGAAAAAAAATTACCATGCATCCAGTTTTGAGTGTATTTATTACCTTATACAGTATTAGTACAGATTTTGATAACTAGAAAGTAACGTAATTACCTTTAAGTTATTTCTCTGTATCTATTATGGGTATCCAGTTATTTGATAAATAGTGCAAAAGTTGAAAATTTAGAGTGGGGCTCATTTTTATGTGTTTGTTTTCTGTCTCAGCATATTTCTAAATGTATGTCTCTTGGCATTAAATGCACAGCCAGGGTAGCATTAGCATCACCCAAAATGGCAAAGACATATTCAGTGTGTAAATGAATCATAGAATTATAGAATATCTCAAGTTGGAAAGGACCCATAAGGCTCATCAGTTCCAACTCCCTGCTCATTGCAGGACTACCTGAAACTAAACCATAGCATCATCTAGATACTCCTTCAGCTCTGACAGGGTTTGAGCTATGACCACTTCCCTGGGGACCCTGTTCCAGTGACTGACCATCCTTTCAGTGAAGAAGCAAATGACAGTATATGAGGAGTGTTCACAAAAGGGGTGAAATAAAAAACTGAGAAGGATCAGAACGTTGCTGAGTTCTGCAAATTCTACTTCATGTGTATTTCTTAGGTGCCACCAGTGTTATGAAGAGATTTCAATACCGCTAAAACAATTTGAAGTTAGAATTGCTGCTCTTACAAATCCACATGGCCCCTGCTTGTGGCTGGCCATTAACCTTCAGCCACTAAATGGCAAATTACTGGATTCTTACCGGAATTGTGAGATTATAATCTCATAAAATAATGTCATTTGACTGCAAGCCATACTGGGGACCCACTGAATAACTGAGCAATACACTGACAGGGTTTAGGACTTCTTGCTGACATGGAGGATTAGGGAAGTCTCTGTGTATTGTCATTCTGTGATATAAGAAAATGAAATCCCCTTTTCGTGTGGAACATCAGAGCTATGCATTTTAATTTCCCCCAAAGGAACAGGCTGGAGATGAAATTGAATGAGATCCTGGACTGAATCTCGGTGTTTGCTTAACTGCTTCATCAGACATGATCAGGAAACAAGCTATGGTTATTCATGAGAAATGTAGAAATCTATTGAATGGGTCACTTTGTTTAGGTTAAAAAAAAAATTAATCATATCATGAGTGCTTACCAGAAAGCACTATAACGGTTGTTACAAATCTTCATCATCCCTATTTTGTGTGCATTATATGACTATTTCTTGCAGAGACTGAAGGAGCTGAAACAGAGGGAGTTTGCTCGAAACATAGCATCTAAGTCATGGAAAGATGAAAAGAAACAGGAGAAAGCCCTTCGACGTTTGCACAAGCTGGCTGAGCTAAGGAAAGAGAGAACGTGGTAAGTGCATAACTGCTGAAACAAAAAATACTTTCAAATAAACTCTTTGCTGTTAGCTGGTGCTGTGGGATGCAAGGCTATTGGAGTCCCTTGACTGGAGCCCCATGGATTTGTTTGGATGGTATTTTTGAAGCGGTATGTATACAATAATCTGATTCACACTGCAGAAATGAATGTTTACTCTTGGTTTTTCAGTGGAGCTAAAATGGCATGTATTTTTAGTTTAAAAAAAAAAGTGTCATCTATATTTCATGAAACCAGGCACGTTGGTTGAAAGCTGCATGAACATGCATTTGCAGACTGACACTACTTCATTGATGAGGTGAGGAATACAGTCTGTCTTTCTAGGATGTAACAGATCTCTGCCATTTCGTTTTCAAACTGCTCGCCTGGGAAAGTATCCAGAAATCTTGTATTAAATTTCAGTAACCGGATTTTTGATATTAAAAGGTAAAAGTGCTTCTTTTCCCCAGCTCAACAGAGTGTTCACCTCCCTCTACAAAAGTGACTCCTTTCTAATCATACATCTTAGTGGTGCATCTGGGGATAATGTTGAAATTAACATTGAGCTTGCTCATTGTGACTGTGTTCTCACTTAAATATGACAGTTATGACACCAACAAGCCACTGAAAATACACATACCAATTTCTCGCAGTGGAATCTCAGTGGGGAAAAGGCAAAAAAAATAGCTGCTGAAACTCTCCTTCATGACATTTGCATTTATCTCTCAGCTTATTTCTCTATTTAAGAATTGCTGTTTACTGCCACTTTGTAGTAAACAGAATGTTTCTTAGAGGTGTGATACAGACAGACACACAGGGTTTTTTAAACTGGTATTTTCTAGGTTGGTTTTACAGAAGTCACCATTTTACTGTGTAAAGAAAGGATTTGTGGGGGGGGGTTAGTATATATTTTAAATTTATGAAGAACTGGACAAGGCAGGAATTCTCATGAGAAATTCTTTTCCGTGAAACCTCTACCTTAATTCTAGACTCAGTAGAATAAGTTAAGCATTCTTTATCTCAGCACTTCTATGGGTCCTAAACAACATTTGAAAGTTTCCCCAATGACTCATTATCTAGTACTGCTCTACACTGAAGCACAGAATAATTTGGTTACAAAAACAAAAAAAGAATGTTGTAAGACAGGTCCATTACTCCGAGTGCTGAGCAGTTCTTGTGGATCCTGGAAACTTGGCAGCTTCAACAGTTTTTGCTCTGCTCTTGGCTTTGTATTAAGTCAAGTAGAACAGATGGGAAGATGACATGAAATAAAGGACAGAAGTAGACAGTGATAATTTTTTTCTTGGGAAGAATGAATCACTTACTGCACTATTGTCAGCTGAAATACTCTCGTTGATATTATTTTTCCATGAAAGAAACTGCTGAGATTGCAATTGTTCAGTCTGTGAACATGAATAGGATGGGAGCTGCTGGGTGACTGACGATGGGCAGAGCTGCTGTCACTGGGATGTTGACTAAGGTGGAAGTCATGTGCATGAGGCACTCTGTGGTTTAGTAAATTTTGTAGCACAAAAGCATGTAAAACTTATGCTGTTTGTAGTAACAGTCTTGTAATCATGATGATCTACTGGGAGGAGAAGCAACATTTTTAGATAAATGAATAGTCTCTTATTGGGACAGGCAGGGTGTCTAGGAAAAGTGAACTACCTCATAGGGATCTGAGCCCTTCAGCTGCTGACTTCACATGAAGGAACTGGAGGCACAACATCTACTTTCTTTTTTTATTCTAGTCAGCTGATCTTAGTATAAAAGATGACATTTTTTTCATATTCTAAGTCTACATATCCTCACATTCTTTGTCTTTCGTTAAAAAAAAAAAAATGTTGTAGATACCCATGTAATTCCATATTTCTGTCTGCAGCTCTCTGAAAGGTACTGACTCCGAGTTTTGTTTTCCTTCCTAGTGCTCCTGGAAGCGGCCCTATGTTCAAATCTACTACAGTGACTGTGCGAGATCATTGCAGTAATAACCCCCGAAGTGCCATCACAGATTCTTCCAACAGTCAGGATTTAATGCATGATACACAGAATGGTGAAGATGTTGCTTCTGTTACTTCTTCCATTCCTGGAAATGCATGTAGTAACAAATCCGACACTAACAAATGTGGAGATCAGGTTCAAGGAGCTCAAGGTCATAGAGTTGGTTTCTCTTTTGCTTTTCCCAAGAAAGCAGTGGTCAAACTGGAGTCTTCAGCTGCTGTTTTCTATGAATATAATGACGAGACATCTATAGAGCATGGATTTAGCAGAAGAAGTAGGTTTGTTCCAGGAGCATGTAACATTCAGTCTCCTTCAGTGGCAGAAATAGTCCTGTGCCCTGAGGAGAAACATAACTGTTTTCACCCACTGGTGGAAAAATGCATAGGCACAGCAGGAACTCCTAAAGCTCAGGAGCCAGAAAAACTGGCTGGTGAAGAAAGCGGTGTGCTAGAGTCTCCTATCTTAACTCCTGCTGCATCCCATTCAAAGCAGCTGGTTTCCTTGGACATGGGTGGCTATGGCATTGATGTGAATGCAGCAGACGTTGTGGACCAAATGCTGCCCATGGCTGTGGACAGTGCTCGGGTCCTGCCCCTGGACTGCAGCGGGTATGAGCTGCAGGCCAACAGGGCTCTGGCACAAGCAATTGTGGAGGACTCTTTATCTCTGCAGGATGTTGCCAAGGAAAATGATACAGATAGCAACAGTGATCCATCCATGACTGAAACTGAAATAAAAAGACTGGTTGCAGATGTATCAGTTCCATCAGCATCTGAAGAAGGTAGTGGTGGAACCCCACAAAGCAAACTGGACGTGCACAAGAGACCTTGTGAACCTTTTGTTCCTGTTCTTAGCAAACACGGATCAAATATTCTTCAGTGGCCATCGGAAATGTTAATTTACACAAGTACAGACCCATCAATTTCTTACAGCTGCAATCCTTTATATTTTGATTTCAAGTTATCAAGAGCAACTGGCAGCCAAGAAAAGCCCAAGCATCAGCCAAACATACCTCATTTGCACCATAAAAGTGAATCCAACCATAGCTTAGTCTTGAATTTTACAAATAAACCTATTTCAGAGTGTGGTGATTATGAACCAGAAATCAATAAAGATGTGTGTGACTATACAATACCCCTTATAAGTGACAATTCCCTCCTCATAAATTGTGATTTTGCAAAAAATCAAAATAAAGTGTCTTTGGATGAATCATTCAGGATTAGAAAAATAGAAAAGTATCGCCTTTCTAAAAATCACTTACGACAAAACACTGTGATAGATGAGAAATACAACAAAATCTGGATCAAAGAAAGCCATGAAAAATGGCTACACAAAAGTAGAAAATGGAAACGGAAAAGAAAATTGTATCGTCATCATCATCACTGTGGGGACATGACAGCAGCAGAAATGGAGATGTCCTCAATGAGTGAAAAAGAAATCAGTTACCAAGATGAAAACAAATATCAGCACCTCCAAAATAATCCAGAGAAGTGCAGATATGATGTGGGGAATATCTGGCTAGATGCAGGTGAGCTACAGCATTCGCATCAAAAACTTGGTATTGAAAATTGTCATAAGAGAGTCATGTCTGCACCACATCATGTACATGGAGACAGAGCCTGGTGTGATGTTTGGAGTGCAACCAATAACCAGCACCATGGTTGTAAGCAATGGCACAGAAGGAGCAGAGCAAGTTCTCAGGCATATGCAAAGCAGCTGGCTCTGAGTTCCAGGAGGCACAGCCTCAGGTACACTAAAACATGTTGTAGCTGGAAAGCCAGGAGGTCAAGCTGTAGCCCAGAGCATAAATGTTTAGGACACTGCAGTGTGGAAAAGAGTCTGAGTCAAAAACAGTTCATAAAGAGAGGTTACAGTGTTCTGACAGAAGAAACAAAGAAATCCCACTGCAAGTGGAGAGAGCATACCTGTTCCTCTTCATCAGAAGAAAGCTCGTACGGACAAACATTATCAGCAGAGGAATATCTGAGGCAAGCTCAAACTATAGGTACACGTCACAGGACAAAAGGGAAACAAAGGAAAAGAAAAACCAGAATCCGTCGCATATTCCTTGACAGGAAAGCAAGGAGTGAGAACTCCAGACCTTCCACAGAAAGTTCTGCAAATTCTACGTTAAATGTTTTGAGGGGCCTCTCAACTCAAGACAGTCTAGAGGAAGTTAGTGCAGATCCCAAAGCTGATCATGCAAAAGACACAGATGAAATGACAAAACTGGAGGAAAGCAAGTCATCTCTAGACACTGACATTTCACACGTGTTAGAACACAATGAACCAAGGGTGTGCACAGTGATGAAGAACACGCTGGGTGTATTTTCTGATGTTGTCACTGTGCCCCTTCCTGAGCACCGCGCTCCAGCAGCTGCCAGCACACAGGGTGTTCTGCAAAACGAAAAGAAGACAGAAGAGGTCAACAGTCATGAAAATCAGGCTCATTACAAACCTCCCCTCCCCAACAGACATTTGGAACAAGCTCCTCCTAGATCCAGTCTTTGCCATTATGAATTGGCCGAGTCTCTACCACATGAGAAAATAAATGAGATGACTGGTGAATGGGTACAGTGTAATCCTGGTATATTTAGCAGCCCACCACCCTTGCCATTCAAGGAAGCACATGTAAACAGTCACAGTTTTTTAACTACTGAGCAGTTACTAGCCCCTTTTACCCCGCCTGATCAGACACTGATATTCCCTCCAGATAAACACAACAAATTCAAAGATCTCCCGTCTGAGGCCTATCAGCAGATCATGCCACAGAACATACTGGCCAGCAAAGTGAAGTTCACCTTCCCTCCCACACCAATCCAGCCCCCGAATTCCCCACTGCAGCCTGTACCCCTGCAGCCGCCATTGTGCTCTACCTCCATCACCACCATCCACCACACTGTCCTACAGCAGCATGCCGCTGCTTCACTGAAGGTTCTCCAGCCCCACCAGCAGTTTCTCTCACAGGTCCCGGCTCTTTCCCGAGCTCCTTTACCTCATGTGCCAGTAGGACCAAGGCTTTGCCCAGGGGTTCACACAGCTTTTGTCACCGCACCGCACTTGCCACTGCTGCCACCCTCAGTCCTGCCACCAAGCCCGCCGGCATTCCCACTGCTGCCGCACACCGTCTTCCCATCCCTGCTGTCCCCACACCCTACTGTCATCCCCCTGCAGCCCCTCTTTTAGGATGGGTTCTCAGGGCTGGGGGAAGGAGCCCTCAGCTCAGTGGTCCTGCTGCTTCTACAGCCCCCCTCGACTTTGCAGGATGGTTCTGTGAAATGAACTGGTTAAAATTCCTTGTTCCTTGGGAAGCATTTACTGTAAGTACAATGATGCAAACATTCATGTTGAGGTCAGACCTGTACTATAACAAAAGCACTAAATAGTCTGATGCTAGTATGAACTCTATATGTAAGTGAAAATCATGTCTTAGAATATGTACAATATAAATAAAATATATTTATAGTTCTATAACATGTTGTATTCACTTTTTTGTTTTTATCTTTGTGTATTTGCACCTATTTAATGTTTAGACAAAGCTGATGCACTATGTTTTGTACTATGTCCTCTGAAACTGTAAATCTGGTGACAAATATCTCTTGCAATAAATTTTTGTTAACTACTTAAGTATATAAAAAAATCTTTCGTTATAAGCCTCATGGATGTTGCTCTTCCATGGTTTTCTGCAGCTGAATAGCATCCTCTGCCCCTACTCTGTTTGAATAATCAGGTTTCCTATGCATCAGTGATTTATCAAGGAGGCTCAGAGGCTAATACCTTGAGGTATTGTCTCGCTGAGCAAGAGAGGAAGATTAATAGATGTGTTTGTGTTAGCAGCTTGAAGTTACCATGACAAATTGTGCCTACTTGTAGTATGTGCACAAACTGCTCACTGTTGGAGCTAATCCCTTTTGTACTAAACCACAAAATGATGATGTAACAAAAATGACATCAATGATGGCCTGGGGGGAATATCAACAGCAGTTTGACTTCCAGGGAATATTGCTCACACTGGAATGGTGAAGCACAGGGAAGATCTTGGCTCCACCAAGCAGTTGTGCTCTGACTGCGCACAGCCCTTGATGGGGCAGATCTGTTTGGGTGAGGTCCTTCCTGCCTGTGCAGTGTGTGACAATAACAAGGATGCATGAGTATGAAGGGGATGTCAGGTGGAGGTTCACATGGGGAAACCCACCAGGGTTTGAGACAGATTCTCACCTCACTTTCACCCTCTCTTTCCTGAAGCAGTTTGCCAAAGTAGAATAACATTGAATAGAGATCAGCTAAAATAATAATATGCTGCCATTGCTTCTAACTCTATTTCAAAGACTTCTCCCTACCTCTGCAGTCTGTTTATTGCTTTAGCAGCTATAAACAGCTTTAGGCAGTGAAATCTCCACATTTGCTTTAGTTTGGGATGTATCAGGCCCACACCTACAACAAAACCAAAGACATTCTGAGATAGAACCATCTTTTTGAGTTAAAATGAAGTGTTACCACGTGAATGAAGCTAAGGATTTGCAGCATGACCCTTAGTGCTAGAAGTAGGCCCTCTGTAATGGAAGGTAGGTGTTAGCAATCCAATTAATTACTTAGTTTCACCTTTTTATGTGAAATAAATTATATAATAAATATATAATATATATTTATTATATAATTTATATATGAAATAAATATATAATAAAATTATATAAAGTTGAACTTAAAAAGTAGTAATTTTGGAAGATTATTAATATGCATTACATATGAATAGCTACAGACATTAATCATTTGAAAAGTAATACTATATCTTAAGACATATATATGGATATTACTTCCTGCATCTATAGCATTATAACTTACCTGTGTCAATAATGCAAGTTTTGGATAATATTACATTAAAACTATAGCAAATGACATCTTGTCACTATGATTACAGTGTCAGCTACTCAAGGAATGCGAGTTTTCCCTGTCTTGCAGTTACAAAGGGCTAAAGTATGCCAATAAGCAAAAAGCTGATAAGAAAGAGCAGTTGAGATATCAGGGTCTGGAGAGCGACTCGGATCTCCTGACTGAGGCTGTGTCAATGAGCAGGATGTTGCTGTCCCTGTAATGCCATAAAGAGGGTATATTTTCTCTATTTGCAATTTCAGGTGAATGCCTGTTTCTATTTATCTGGTACCTGAAAAAACGTAGCATAGAAGTGACTTTATACACCTTTATTTTGCAAGTATGCCTACATAATCTATATGTCTCCACTACTGCCTGTGATATGTAGGTACCAAGCAGGTGCTAAACACAGGAATATCTGAAGTGGGAAGGTTCATGCCAGCTCCCTTAGCTGACTTCTGCATTTCTGTCCTTCTGTGTAGTAGCCAACACAGACAGTCCGTTGGGTTCTGATGTCTCAACAAAGACAAAAAAAACATCTAATTCTATGAGTACACTTGAAAAAAGTCATGTAGGAAAATCATGATTGCATGTTATCAGATCCATGCATTTTTATCTGGCAGGAGATGAAAAATCACCAATTTCAGTTTTTCAGTTGCAATATTCATTGAAAAATCCCATCTTTTAAATTTAGAAGTCCACATTTTTTTAACAAAATGTTCCAATAGCTTTAAATTTTACTTTATTCCTTACAATTTTCTTCCTATTTTAAGTTGTTAAACTTTGAAGACATTGCACAAGTATTTGTTATCTACTGTAACTGCTTTAAGTGCATAAACTACTTAAAAACTCTAAGAACCAAGTGTACTCATATGCTATTGCTTGGATCGCTACAGCTGTTTATATATATGACTTCATTTGTAAAAGCAAAACCAATATAAAAATAAATCACAAGTTAAATTTAAAATTGAGCATACTAGATTAAATGACCTAATGAAATATTCTTTTGAGTTTTTCTTTTATTATTAAAGATCTAACTTCTAGTAAGTTATATAAAGGTAGCTCTTCTTATTCATGTTCTATCTGATACTTTTGATTAAATGTGTATTTTTCTTCCATAACTTGGCAGAATATTTCAAATACTAAATTATTGAATTTTTATCATTCTAAATAAATTCCACAAAATTTTTTCAATCTAATGAATTTATGGTTGAATTTTCAGATTTACACAGATTGAGTGTGTCTATGCTTCTGGCCAGTTTTCCAATTTGTAGAACTATTGGCCTGTCTTCCTAGTGTAAACAGGCAAAGTGGTACACAGAATGGAAGGAATTAAACCTTCAGATCTTAACCTAAACAAGGTTATAGATTTTGTTAAGTGATTTCCCAGACCAGCTCTGCAGAGAAATTCCTTGGAAAGTTAATCTGTTCTGCTGAGGTGAGAAGAGTACCTTTGTTTGGTCCTTTGAAAATTGCAATTTGCCCAGACCATGATCTTCCTGGGGATGTCCCATTGCTCAGGTAATGTGACCCACAGGGTCACGCTCTGGAGAAGCTTTTGGGCATTAAGGAACATACAAGACAATGTCTTGTATTGGTATGCAAACTAGCAGCTCTGCAAGTTTTGAATTACTGCAGAGCAATCACCACATTTCAGATTCTACAGGAGTGAGTGATGGGTAGTCACTTATGGAGAAACTGTTGACCACAATCATTGGTAAAAACCCCACCTTTTACAGTGTTATTGGGTGATAATGTTTTTATCATTTGCTGTAATCAAACAGCAATGAAATCATTAATGAAGCAACATCTTCTTTGCTTGCCATGTTAACTTTGTAGTAGGTCATGTATTCAGGCTAAGCTTTAAAAGGCCATTGGGACATCCATTTTTCTTTAATATCCTACTATACATGATAATATGCTGCTTATACAACACACGACATGGCTATAGTTTTTTTTTGTCGAGTTAATTTTCTATGACTGTGCATTTTTCTCAAAGTACTTGTTTTTTTTTGTTGTGATAATATTTACTTCATGTGCTGCATTTAAAATACAGCTGTAAGAATAATTTGGCCAAACTCTTCATCAGTGTAAATCAATGCACAACTTCTGACCTCAGTGGAATTTCATTGATTTGTACCAACCCAAAATCGCTCATGTTGCAGTGTTAAGGATTTTGTAAACTTGCTCAGTTAAGGCAATAAGTTATGACCAGGTGAATGTATTTTTAAGGCAGTTATTTGTTTATATCTAAGGAGGTAAATTTTAATCTCCTGGATATTGTACTGTGGTGCTCCTGGTCTACATGTTCTAAACACCACACATTCATTTTCTGATTTCCCTTCCTGTGCATTGCCTAAAGACTCGTGTATGTGTAGCAGTGCACATATTTATGCAATATGCCTTCCAGATGTACAATTTTACAAAGCTATCTAAACTCTATTGAAAGTAAAGACCTTTTTACTGTATAAAGATCATTTGATATTTTTAAATTAACATGGCTTACTCTCTAAATGTGTATGTTATTTTATAGATCACTGAATGCTTGCAGTAGGCATGGTTTTGTATATTATTTTATGTCCTTCCTTCTCCCCTTTACTTCAGGAACACTATAAAGCTTTCTGGTTTTCTGTAAGATTATCAGAGTGTATTGTAATGTATCTATTTCTGAATATGAACCAGGCTTCTTTATTACTTCTAACTGCAAAAATTAGTGTACCGACTTTAAGAATTATCTTATTTTTGCTTCAAGCTTCTGTTTCATTTTATGGATTGTATAAGGTTGGGAGAATTTCTACTCTGAATCTGAAGTTTGACCTGTTGGTAAAATTCTGAAACCAGTGAATTCTTAAGACAGTTTTGCCATTAACGTTGCTGAGGACGTATTTTGTCCTGGGGCATTAGGGCACTTTACTTATTAAAACTCCCTAATACTCACTGCTTTCACTTGAATAATAATTTCATAAAGTATGAGGAGGAGCACAGACCAGTAAGGAAAAATTGATCCATTTTACATCAGTCTTTTGTTGATCTATTTTTGTTGTAACAATATTTCTGTAATTAATGACCGTAAGGGTATGTCCTTAAAATTTCTGTTCTGTATCATCAGTGTTTTGAAATGTATACATGCACCTTCTATTTGATACCAAAGAAAAAAACAGATTTAGTAAGTGTGACTAAATTCATACAGTATTTAGATAAAGTGTCAGTAGTCTTTAATGGGATAAGATCAGAATGTGCAAATTCATGTAGAGAATATGACAATAATAAATTAAGCTTCAAATGTGAATCCACAATGGATATAATACTATTTATGTGAATTAAAGGAGGTTACTATTAAATCAGTAGTGGTGTTTGTTTGCTATGAATGAGATTTTTAGAGATAAATTATTTTCCTTTTTTTTCTTCAAAAGAAGGAGGTAACAGGAAAATACTTTCGGAAATGCATATTTTAAAATCAGCTATAGGTAGAACCTGCAGCCCTTTTCTCAGGGATGAGAAACAGCAAGTAAGTATTGTGCATTCAAAAAAACCACTTTTTCTAAAGAAACATCTTGCATTTCTAGTTCAGTTTTATCTTGGTTTAGTCTGGTGAAATCTGTGAAGAATTAGGGTAAAACATAGGAAGTTCTACCTCAAAAGGGCAAGATCCTTTTTTTATATTGTAAGAAATCAAACTAATTTAAATTAATATATTTGCACTATGGTGAATATGGAGAAAGCAAAGCTAATTTTTTTCTTGCAATGTAATTCAGATTTAGCAATGTAATTCAGACCCAAAACCTTCGTGCATGTAACAGACTCTTTTATACATGGCTTTTATGTCAGTGGAGTGCTGGCAAGAACAACAGTAAAATCCAATCTCTTCTCTCATGTCGAGTAATGCCTGTTGAAATGAAAAGGAGGCAAAGACTGAAAGGAGGTAAACCTGAATCTGTCAATGCCTAAATAATACTTTTTACCTGTGGAATTGTAATTGGAAATAGAAGTTTACTTGAATTTTAGTGTTTGTACGTATATAGGTGTGCCTGTGCGTGTTGCCATGCACATAATGGGCTACTAGTTGAGGATTCTGTTTTTCTAGGTGTAATTTTGCATCTGTAATTAAGCTTGTTTGAAATGTACATAGTAGAAAAGACCGTTGAAGGGAGAAATATTTAATAATAATAATCATAATTATTTAAAAGTGTGATTATTAAATAATGAACCCATCCTTTTCTCTCCAGGATGGAGGGAAGTTGCTCAAAGTTACTTTACCTGGCTGTATTTTGTGTCTTTCTACCACTTAAATTGCAAGTGCTGTTTTCCTCAGTAAGCCTTTTCCAGCTGGTCTGTCAGTCCATTAGTGTCAAAAAAAGACAGGATAGCAAGAGAAGATGTGCATGTAATTTCATCTTTAGAAAGTCCCTTTTCTCTCTGAAGAAATTATTCACTAGAATGAACCTTCAGTGTGCAAAGCAAGAATATTGCTCTCTCTGCCACTGCCTGTGGCTGCACTCCTCACCTTCTCTTAATGTGTCATTCTCCAGAGGCAGAAGAAGTACAAAGCAAGGTCTTCTAGCACCACCAGTTTACCCAGAACTGGGTGCAGAGGAGCACGTTGGAAGATTATCCATGTTCTTCCCAGCAGATGTGTTACTGTAAGTGAAAGGAGTGTCACAAGCACTGGGCATTTATTTTTCAGTTCTTACTTCAGACTGAATTGCAGCCAGGCTAATAGAAGCATGAGAGGAGAAACACTAGG